TATAAAGAAACTCAACGAGATCCAAGAGAGAGGTCAGCACAAAGAAATCAGAAAAACAATTTAGGAAATAAAAAAGAGGTGCACATCATTTGAAATAAGCAAACAGAACTGGAAATTTTAAAAAATTCATTGAAGAAATTTTAAAATACAGTTGAAAGCTTTACAGTAGGCTAGACCAAGTGGAAGAAAAAATTTCAGAGCTGAACTCAACAATAGGTCTTTCAAATAAATCCAGTCAGACAAAAATTTTTTAAATAAGTATTTTTAAAAAATGAACAAAGCCTCCAAGATATATAGATCATGTAAAGCATCCAAACTTATGAGTTATAAGTATTCCAAAAGAAGAATAAGAAAAACTAAAATGTATGGAAAACATACTTGATGAAATCATTCAGGTAGAACTCTCTAATCTTCAGAGATATTTAGACATCCAGATACAAGAATCTCAGAGGACTTCCAGAAGACACATTCCAAGAAGAACCTCATGAAGGCATATCACCATCAGACTATACAAAGTCAGTATACAGGAAAAATCCTAAAAGAGTCAAAAGAGAAGTGTCTAATCACTTATAAAGGAAATGCCATTAGATAAAGAGCATATCTCCCAGCAGAAACCTGGGAAGAGCTTGAAAACCAGAAAAAATTTGACACCAATTTCTAACTTACTTAAGGAAAAAGAAATACTAGTCAATAATTTTATGTCCTGAAAACTAAGGTTTATAAATGGAGAAATAAAGTGTTTTCCAGAGAAACAATCACAAAGAGAATTTGTCAACACAGGACCACCTTATGCTCAAAAGAGTTCTAAACATGGAAATGAAAGGACAATATTCATCATTATAAAAGGACACATAAGTAAAAAGCTTATAAATGCCATAAAGAAATTACACAATTGAAATGTCAAGGCAACTAGCTAACAACTGTATGACAGAAAAAATCCTCACATATCAATATTATCCTTGAAGTAAACGGAATGAATTTTCCACTTGAAAGACAGAGTGGCAAATTGAATTAAACAATTTACCATCTTGAATGGATCCACCTACTGGCTAAATACAGCTACAGATTCAAAGTAAAGGTGTATAAAAAGGTACATCACACAAATGGAAAACAAAAGCAAGCAGGAGTTCCAATTCTCATATCAAATAACATAAACTTTAGACGAACAACAGTTTTTTAAAAAGACAAAGAAGGGAGCTATGTAATCATAAAGAGCCCAAAACAAGTTTTACCTATCCAAAATATATATACACACAATACTGGAATAGTCAGATTCATAAAACAAATGATACCACACTTAGGAAAACAGATTGATAACAATGCAATAATAGTGGAGGCTTTCAAAACCTCGCTGACATCACTACACAAATCATCAATGCAGAAAATCAACAAAGAAACTTGGCACTTAAACTGGACTATTCCAAATGGACCTAGTAGATATTTATCAACATTCTTTTCAACAATCACAGGATATCCTTGTCCTCATCTGAAATGAAACATTATTGAAAATTGACCATATATGTGGCCATAAAGCAAGTCTCAATAAATTCAAAAAAATTGAAATCTTATTAAGTATTTTCTTGGATCACAGTGGAATATAAAAACTAAACCATTTGCTTCTAAATGACCTTTGGGTAAATAACAAAATTAATGCAGAATTTTTTTTAAATGTGAAATGAATGAAGATAGGAACCACAAAAGACCTCAAAAAACCAAAGCAATCTTGAGGAAGAAGAACCAAACTTCATTGTAATAGATTTTAAAATATACTACAAAGCTATAGTAATCAAAAGAACATGAAACTAGCATGAAAACAGTCTTGTAGAAACTGGAACAAAATAGAGAACCCAGAAGTAAGTCCATGGATTTAGAGTTTATTCATCTTCATGGATTTAGAGTTGATTCATCTTCAGCAAAGATACCAAGAGCAAATAATAGGGACAGGTCCAGTCCAGTAAATGATGTGGGTAAAATTGGATATGTACATGCAGAAGAATAAAATTAGACCCCTTTCTCACACCATATATAAAAATCAATTCAAAGTGGATTAAAGACTTAAATATAATTCCAGAAACTATGAAACTGCTACCAAAAAAAATTGGAAAAATTTTCTTCACATTGATCTGAGCAATAATTATTTGAATATGGTTCCAAAAGCACTGGCTACAAAGGCAAAAATCAACCAATAGTATTGCATCAAACTAAAAAATATTCTGCATGACAAAGGAAACAATCAACAGCATAAACCATACGTCTGAGAACCACTTAAAATCCAAAATATAAAAAGGACTCAAACAGATCAATAGCAGGAAAACAAATAACCCAGTTAAAAAATGAACCAAATGACTCAAAAAAAGATATACAAATGGCCAGTAGGTGTATTTTAAAATGCTCAACATCACTAGTCATCCAAAAAATGAAATAAAAACTATGTGAGATATTACCTCACACTTGTTGGAATCACTATTCAGAAAAAGATAAAATATAACAAATATTAGCAAGAATATGGAGGAGAGGAAGCCTTTGTACACTATGGAAATTTAAATGTATACAACTACTATAGAAAACAGTATGAAAGTTTTTTGAGTAATCAGAAATAAAATTGCCATGTGATCCAGCCATCCCACTTCTGGGTATATACCTCAAAGAATTGAAAACAGTATGTTGAAGAGATATCTGCACCTTCATGCTTATTGCAGCATGATTCACAAGAGTTGGAAGCAAACTAAATGTCCATCAAAGGATTAGTGAACAAAACAAATGCAGTACATATAAATATGGAATACTGCTTGGTTTTTAAAAAGAAGGAAATCTTGTCATTTTGACATCATGAATAAACCTGTTAAACATTATAAGTGAAATAAGTCAGGAACAGAAAAGACAAATACTTCAAAATCTCACTTATATGTTGAATCTAATAATGTCTAACTCACAGAAGAAAAGAGTAGAATGGTGGTTGCAAGGGACCGGGGATGGAGGGAATCAAGAGAATGGGGAGATGTTCAGCAGAGGGTACAAACTTATAAACATGATGAATATGTTGTATAGATTGATTATACAGCATGATGACTATAGTTAATAATAATGTATTACATGCTTGAGGATTGTGAAAAGAGTAAATGTTAATGTTCTCACCATAAAAAATGATAAATACATTAGAAGATATCTATGCTAATTAGCCTAATTTAATCATTTCACTAAGTATACATATATCAGAACATCATTTTGTATAATGTTAATGTACACAACTTTTGTCATTTACAAAGGGGACCCCAAAAAACCAAAATTATCTTTTGGCAGGAGGATCCCTTGTGGTATACTCAGAATGTGGATCAAATGGTCAGCCAAAGTTTTTAACTTTGTGAAGTTTTGAGAAGTTTGCATCCCAATTTGGGGAAGAAACATCCCAAGAGTGGCAAAGAGGTGACTGGTTTTTCCTGCCCACATTGCACTTAGTGTTCAGCAGTTTTTGACCAAAAACACATCATAACCCCTATGGTCCACTCACCCTATCTGACCTTACCCTGACCAACTTTTTTGTTTGTTTGTTTCTCTGATGAAAAAGGTACTCAAAGGGAAACATTTTGCTGATGTAGAAGAGGTAAAACAAAAAGTAGCAGAAGCACTAAAGGTCATCAAAATTGACAAGTTTGAAAACTGTTTTACTGAGTGAAACAAGCATCTTGATAGGTGTATTGCCTCAAACAGAGAGTACTTTGAAGGTGACTGAAGTTTAAATATATAGGAATAAATATACAATTCTTAATAAATAAATTCCCTTTGAATTTATTTAGTCAGGAACAGAAAAGACAAATACTTCAAAATCTCACTTATTTGAATTTACTTAGTCAGGAACAGAAAATTTGGGGGTTGTCCTTGTATACTGTAAATAAGTTAGGAAATTTTTTTTAAAAAACATGTATAAAGAGATCAAATAATTTTCCAGGGTCATTAGGATGAATGAAAGAGGTAAGGATAAAGTCCATGACTGTCTTCATCTAAAGGTCACATTGTTATCTGCTTTGGTACACTGTTTACAGACCACACCCAGTGATTACTGAGGAGGAACAACGTGAGAATATTTTACAGGTAACTTAGGAAATGATATGAAATGTCAACAAAATGACAGCAATTAGTTCTAATTTAAAGATTATCCTTCCTGTATTCTATTCTTTAAACTTTTTTTAACCAAAAATTGAATATTTATTTAGAATGAGGGAAATCACAACAAATATGTATTTCAAAAAGTTGACAATGCAAACATCACCCAAAGCCAGAAAAAAGGCAAACTATATTTTACAAATTATTATTATTGATCATCTGATGCCATTCATCTACAATTCCTTTCTCAAGGCTTTATATTTTTAGAACTATTTTAGTTTGCAGCAAAATTGAGAGAACAATCCCCAAAAATCCCGTATACCTCCTTCCCCTACATTTGCACATACCCTCCTACATTATTAACATAGCCCATCAGAGTGAAAAATTTTTATTTATGAACCTACATTGATATATTTTTATCAACCAAAGTTTATAGCTTACATTAGAGTTTACTTGGTGTTGTACATGCTATGAGTTTGGATAAATGCATAATGGTATGAATCCACCATTATATCATACATACTATTTTAATGACCCTAAAAGTCTTCTATATTCTTCTTATTTGTTCCTCTCTCTTCCCATCCCCACAGCAACTGCTGATCTTTTTCCTGTCTCCATAATTTTGCCTTTTTGCAGAATGCCATCTAGTTGAAAAGCAGCCTTTTAGATTGGCCTTTTTCACCTAGTAATATGCATTTAAGTTTTCTTCACGTTTTCTTCAGCTCAATGGCTCATTTTTTTTGGTTGTGAAGTAATATTTCATTGTCTAAATGCATCACAGTTGTTGTGGTGTCACAGATCTATGAATATGTCACAACTCATCAAACTGTACATTTAGATGCATATATCAGCTCTTTTACCAAGGACCCACCAACATGGGATGTGTTTGAATCAAAACCATGAAGAAAGCAGCCCAGGACATTGTTGAGAAGTACTACACATGCCCGGGCAATGACTTCCATGTGAGCAAGCATGTGTGTGAGGAGATCGCCATTATTCCCAGCAAGAAGTTCTACAACAAGGTAGCCAGCTATGTCATGCATCTGATGAAGCAAACCCAGAGGGACCCAGTGAGAGGCATCTCCATCAAGTTGCAGGAGGAGAGAGAAAGGAGTAACAATTACATTCCACAGGTCTCAACTGAGGATCAGGAGGTCACTGAAGTAGACCTTGACACTAAGGAAATGCTGAAGCTTTTGGACTTTTGAAGTGTGTCCAACCTGCAGGTCACTCAGCCTATAGTTGGGATGAACTTCAAAATGCCACTTGGAACAGTTGAGTCTGTGATGCTGTAATATTTTTCAATAAACCTGGGACAAAAAGAAATATCTATCCCAAATATATATGCACCCAACATAGGAGTACCAACTTTCATAAAGCAGCTTCTAGGTAAACTAAAAAAAGATATTGACTCTAGCACTATCATAGCTGGGGGCTTAAATACCCCACTCACAACACTAGACAGATTGTCAAGAAAAAAAAATCAACAAGGAGATCCAGAACCTCAATGTGATACTCGACCAAATGGACTTAACTGATACCTACAGAACACTCCACCCAGCAACCAAGGAATATACATTCTACTCATCAAGACATGGAACATTCTCTAAGATTGACCACATCCGCAACCATAAATCAAGCATAAACAAATTCTGTAAAATTGAAATACTGCCATGCACCATCTCAGACCACAGTGGAATAAAAATAAGTATCAACAACAACAAAGTTCCCCCAAAACCCAAAAAGGCGTGGACACTAAACAGCATGATGTTAAACAACTTCTGGATCAACAAAGATATCAGAACAAAAATTTAAAATTTCCTGGAAACAAATGAAATTGAAGAAACACCTTACCAAAATCTTTGGGATGCTAAGAAAGCAGTTCTAAAAGGGGAATTCATATCTCTATGAACTCACATGAAGAAAATGAAAAGATCACAAGTTAACAGCCCAAAATAATCACCTAAGGAAGCTAGAAAAACTAGAACACCAAAACCCTAATTTGAGCGAAGAATCTAGATTACTAAAATAAAAGACCAAATTTGGGACACAGAAGACAAAAATAAAATACAAAAAAAAAAAAATCAATGAAACAAAAAGCTGGTTCTTTGAAGGGATAAACACAATTGATGGGATCTAGCTAGACTGACAAGAGAAAGAAAAAGTCAAAATAAACACAGTCAGAAATGCAAAAGATCAAGTCACAAATGATCTCAAAGAAATACAAAAGATTATCAGAGATTACTCTGTAAACTTGTATGGAAACAAACTTGAAAAGCTAAAGGAAATGGAGAACTTTCTGACATCACACAAACTCCTCAGGTTGAAACTAGAAGAAATAAAGACACCAAATAGACTAACAACAATCCAGAAAATTGACTATATCATAAGAAAACTACCTGCCAAAAATATGACTTTCCAACAGAATTCTACAAAATATAAAAGGAGGAGATGATATCAACACTATTAAAAGTATTCCATGGCATCTTCCTAACCAGAAATGTGAAAGACCTTTACAATAAAAACGACAAAACACTGCTCAAAGAAAATCAAAGATGACATAAACAAGTGGGAAAATATACCATGCTCATGGATTGGAAGAATCAACATTGTTAAGATGACCATTCCACCTAAAACAATCTATATATTTAACACAATACCCATAAAATTACCAGATACATTTTTCTCAGACCTAGATACAACACTACAGGAATTCATATGGAAACATAAACTACCACAAATAGCCAAAACAATACTCAGAAAAAAAAGGAGGTATCACACTCCCAGACTTTATACTTTATTATAAAGCTACAATATTCAAAACAGACTGCTATTGGTACAAGAATAGGCATATAGAACAATAGAATAGAACTGAGATTTCAGAAGCAAAACCTCAATTTCTCAACCAACTCATCTTCAACAAAGCCTCTACCACCAACCACTGGGGAGAGGAGAACCTATTCAGTAAATGGTGCTGGGAAAACTGGCTGACCACATGCAAAAGATTGAAACAGGACCCTACCTATCTCCATACACAAAAATTAACTCTGAATGGATCAGAGATCTAAATGTAAAACCTTGAACTATAAGAACCTTAGAAAATGCAGGAGACACCATTATGGAAATTGGAACTGGCAACCAATTCCTGATCAAAACCTCAAGTGCCCATGCCATAAGAGATAAGATAGACAAGTGGGACCTCATCAAACTGACAAGCTTCTGCAAAGTGAAAGAAACCATCAAGAGAGCAGGGAGACAGCCCAAAGACTGGGAAAAGATATTTGTCAACTCTGTGTCTGACAAAGGCCTAACATCTAGGATCTATGAGGAACTCAAATGTGCTGAAAAGAAAAAAACAAACAGAACCATTACAAAGTGGGCAAAAGATATGAATAGACAGTTCTCAAAAGAAGACACACAAGCAGCCAACAGACACATGAAAAAATGTTCAGCCTCACTAGTCATCAAAGAAAAGCAAATTAAAACTACACTGAGATACCACCTAACTCCAGTCAGAATGGCCATCATAATAACTCAAAAAACAACAGATGCTGGAGAGGTTGCAGCAAAAAGGGAACACTTCTACACTGTTGGTGTGAGTATAAACTAGTACAACTCTGTGGAAAACAGTGTGGTAACTCCTAAAAGTTCTAAAACTTGACCTTCCATATGACCCTGCAATCCCCCTACAGGGAATATACCTGGAATAACTCAAATCACTCTATAAAAAATACCTGCACATGTATGTTTATTGCAGCATTTTTCACAATAGCAAGAACATGGAACCAACCATGCTGCCCATCAAAAGAGGACTGGATTTTTTTAAATGTGACACACATACACAATGAGATATTATACAACCATAAAGAAGAACAAAATCATGAACTCTGCAGCAACCTGGATGGACTTGGAGTCTATAATACTGAGTGATTTCTTTTTTTACAGAAACAAAGAACTGAGTATCACATGTTCTCATTCATAAGTAGAACTTGAACAACTATCACAATACTATAAGAAAAGGATTGACAGTAGTGGGAAACTGGAAGTGTGTGTGGGGGGAGGTGGTGAGTTGGGGTTGACAGTAGTGGGAATCTGCCTGGGGAAGAGGGGGCACACTTCATCAACAAGGGTACCTGCATAATGAATATTTGTTTACCTAACCCTGAATTTTACCCCACAATTTTAAAATAAAAAATTTAAAATTAAAAAAAGAAAGCATTCCAGACAATCGAGAAAGATGGAACTCCTCCCAAATCATTTTATGAAGCTAACATCACATAATACCTAAACCAGGAAAAGATCTAACAAAGAAAGAGAACTACAGGCCAATATCCTTGATGAACACAGATGCTAAAATTCTCAACAAGATTCTAGTAAACTGGATCCAACAACATATCTCAAAAGTCATCTACCATGACCAAGTAGGCTTCATCACCAGGATGAATGGCTAGTTCAACATCTGCAAAACCATAAACATAATTAAATACATCAACAGATATAAAAACAAAACCCACATGATTATATCACTGGATGCAGAAAAAGATTTTGATATAATCCAAACCTCTTCCTGAATAAAGCCCTTGAACATCTAGGCATAGATTGAACATACCTTAAAATCGTAAGAGCCATCTATGAGAAACCCACAGCCAATGTACTGCTAAACAGACAGAAATTGAAACCATTTTCCCTGAAAACTGGAACAAGACAAGGATGCCCAATCTTACCCCTCAAATTAAACATACCTGGAAAGACCTAGCCAGAGCAATCAGACAAGAGAAGGTGATCATGGGTATCCATATTGGAAAAGAGGAAGTCATGTTATACGTCTTTGCTGATGACATGATTCTATACCTCGAAAACCCAAGAGAATCTGTCAAAAACCTCCGAGCACTGATAAAGGACTTTGGCAAATTATCAGGATATAAAATAAATGAACAAAAGACAGTCGCATACCTATATACCAACAATAGAAAGAAACCCAAATAAAAGCACAATCCCATTCACAATAGCCACAAAAAAGAAAGAAAGGAATACCTTGGCATCTTCCTAACCAGAGAAGTGAAAGAACTTTACAATGAAAAATATAAATCCCTGCTCAAAGAAAACAAAGATGACACAAACAAATGGAAAATATTCTATTCTCATGTATTGGAAGAATCAACATTGTTAAGATGTCCATCTTACCCAAGGACATCTACAGATTTAATGCAATACCAATTCAATAACCAGCAGCATTCTTCTCAGACCTGGAAAAACAATACAAGAATTCTTATGGTGACACAAATGACCACTAATAGTCAAAACAATCCTCAGCCAAAAAAAAAACAACAACAAACAAACAAAAAAGAAAATACAGGAGGTATCACACTACCAGACTTTAAACTTTATTATAAAGCTACAATAATCAAAACAGCCTGATACTGGTACAAGAACAGGCATATAGACCAATGGAACAGGATAGAGATTCCAGAAGCAAAACCTCAATTTCTCATCCAACTCATCTTTGACAAAGCCTCTACCATCAACCACTGGGGAGAGGAGAACCTATTCAATAAATGATGCTGAGAAAACTGGCTACTGCATACAGAAGATTAAAACGAGACCCCTGCCTATCATCATACACAAAAATCAACTCTAAATGGATAAAAGACTTAAATGTAAAATCTCAAAGTGTAAAAACCTTAGAAAATGCAGGAGATGCCCTCAAGGAAATCGGAACTGGCGACCAATTTCTGATCAAAACCCCAAGTGCCCATGTATAAGATATAAGACAGACAAATGGAACCTCATCAAACTGACAAGTTTCTACAAAGCTAAAGAAACCATCCAAAGAACAGAAAGACAGCCCCTGAAATGGGAAAAAATATTTGCCAACTGTATATCTGACAAAGGCCTAACATCTGTGATCTACAAAGAACTCAAATGTGCTGAAAAGAAAAAAACAGCCCCATTACAAAGTGAGCAAAAGATATGAATAGACATTTCTCAAAAGAAGACATATAAGCAGCCAACAGACACATGAAAAAGTTATCAACTTCACTAGTCAACAATGAAATACAAATTAAAACCACACTGACACACCACCTAACTCCATTCAGGAGGGCTACCATCAATAACTCAAAAAACAACAGATGGGAGAGAGAATGCAGGGAAAAGGGAACACTTCTACACTGTTGGTGGGAGTGTAAACTAGTACAACCTCTGTGGG